ACCAAAGAGATTTTTTTTCTGAGACTTCATCCCACTGGACCAGAAAGAAGTATCTTTAAAATGTTCCAAATAAATCTGAAAATTTTTTATAACTTACCCAGCACTGTTTATATATAGTCCTATATTTATCTAACATCTATTTTTCCTCAAAAATTCCCTGTTAGGGGTATGCAGTTTAATGAAACTTGTGACTTCTCTTAGGGTTGTCAGAGGTGGTGAGGTGTTTCCCTGTGGGAGATGTCACTTTGACCTCCAGCATGTTTGAGCAGTGTTTTTCTGTGCTCCAGAATGCCTTTGGGTGGGATTGTCACCCTGAGATGATGTTGACAATTTGACAGTTTTGTCAGTACACAACCATGCAGCTGTTATGCTGGAGGCTCCTACTTGCCTTTTTGCCACACAGACTCTGATGACTCTGCAGGGCTGCCACAGTGCCAGATTTCCTTCTTTAGAGCTTCTGGTTGGATTATTTTGTTAACAAGATCGCTGAGTGACTCTGGAAGGTTTTACCTCTGTGTCTGTGTTGTTGTATTAAAAAAAACAACAAACAGAAAACCCAAAAAAAACCCCAAAGAAAAAAAAATTTATAACTCACCTCTTTGAAATTCCCAAAGGCTTCCAGAAAAGTGGAAAAGTGCAAAATGTTTTAGTGTTATATTCCTTGGCTGTACCTTTTTTTTTTTTTTTTTTTTTTTTTTTTTTTTTGTTACTAGGAATTCTGCAACATGTTAGGGCACATTGTGCCTGTGTGTGTGGCCACTTCTGGTGTCAAAGGAATATATAAAATAGCTCATTTTTCAAAATATGTGTCCTGGAGCCATTATTCTGCTTCTGACCTATGGTCTGGGAATGGCTGATTTGGCTGCAGTGAAGTTTTCACTCTTGTTTTACAGCTCTTGGAAGAAGGCCAGGCACTGGAGAGAGCCAGCAGGAGTATGAGCTACTGCCGTGTGTTGGGACAGCCTGAAAATGAATGTCATTTATTCTCAGCTTTGAGAACTGAATTCCATGGGTTGTAATTGAATCTGCTGTCAGACCCATGGGGCTCAGTTCTTCAGCTTGGATATTTCTGTCTTCATATACACAGGAGATCAAAGAAGCACTTGATCATTCTCTACCTCTTCTGGTGATAGCAGCAAGCAGGAGAGGAAGCACGAGTGATGTGAATCATTTCAGCAGAGAGGGTTTACTGCAAAGGCTCTCTCAGGATAAATGGCTGTGCAGTGATTGAATCTCTTCTGATCTCACAGGCTCTGTGCTGCTACCCACTGTTTGATTAGCTTGATTCTTTGCTCTCATTGTTATCAAGGTTACATCTGAATCCCTGAGATGGTGTGGATTGGATGATGGTCCCCAAACCCTGCTGAGTGGTGCATTCTCCTGTGGCAGTGTGGTGAGCTCCTTTAGACCGTGGAACACCTGGGCCTGTCACACACGTCTAAGAAGAAAAAGTTTTTATTCTGCCTGTTCTCCAGCTTATATCCTCTTAACAAAGCGTGATCTTAAGTTGTTAACTACATCACAATAACTTATTATATTCATTGATGCAAAGCAATTAGCGTCAATATAATTGGCAAAAGTTTTGCAGAAATTTAATAAGGCACGTATACACATCTACTTACGCACATAGTCCAGCTTACAAAAATGTTCATGTATCTCTTTTTAATCTGTTCCCATGCTGATGGCCTTGTCTTCCTTACTATGGATACACTCGAAAATCATCAATTGTTATTTCTTTTATTAACTTAGCTTTATTTGCAAGCCAGCTATCAGGCCCCTCCGTATGTTGTTGATTGGATGATGGTCCCCAAAACCTGCTGAGTGGTGCATTCTCCTGTGGCCAGCTGTGGAGAGCTCCTTTAGACTGTGGAAACCTGGACCTCCCTTGGGCTGAGCACTAAATTTGCCAACTGATAATCCACCGTACCTAGCTCTGTTGGTACCACTGCTGTGCACCTACTGCCTCATTTGCTTTGTCCTGTGCCAAATGCCCATTTTTGAAAGAAGCTGTGACCATAAAGTTTATTCATTTGCACCAGCCAACCAGCCCACTTATATAAACACAGATTTCCTTCCTGAGGTTAGTGATGTGCTCCCAGGTTTGGTTTAGGGAGTTTCCAGTGTAATTAGTGATGGCAATGTAAGTGCTGTTTGAAGGCTTGGTAGCACAAACATCCCTCTGTAGGGGAATTCATTCAAGTCACAGGCTGATGTTTTTTCTTGCAGGAAAATTTTAACCTATGTTAAAATTTTTCATTTTTCATTCCAGGGATCAGGAAAAGTAATTGTCGTCTTTAAGCATGTGAAGAGTTACAATTAGCAACGAGCTTTCCACCTCTTTCCTGCAATAATAACCCCTAAATTACATTTTTCCAACTCAGTAAAGTGGATCATAACTGATCTTATCCCTGTGTTACAAAGCTCTTAAAAGCATAGAAATGCTAAAATCCCGCAGGTGCAGGAAGAGCATGTTTAGCTAAGTAGCTTAAAACTGCTCTGTGCCTTTCATTCTGAATATGTATTTGCACACAAAAAAAATGAGATATTAATCACTGTTGCCTGTGGATACAGATGTGCCTTCATACTGATGTATTTTTCATAAAAATTTTTATCCTAGGTGTTGAAGAGTTTCAATTGCAGCTGTGTGAGATGTATTGTTCTCACCAGTTTAGAAATTACAGTTCTTGAAAGAACTTACTGGTTTCACCAGCTCCTGCTGTGGGAATATCCATTAAACAGGATGGAGAAACTGAGCAAAGGACAATACTGAAAGTTTTACTTTTTATTTTCCTCTATCATCCCTGTCAGGAAGAGGAAATGAAATTTGAGGTCAGAGTTGGCAAAATCTTCAAAAGAAGAGAGATCAATGGAACAATTGACAGTAGGTGTGATGCAGGCAGTCTGGTGGATATTAGATGCTGCAAGGCTTTATCCTGTTCCTTCACTGTGCAGCCCAGCCTGGGGGCAGTGATGCAGCACAGAAGGTGATGTGTGCATGGTAACAAGGCCGTGGATGAAATCAAGGAGTACATAAGTCTTTGGAGTCCCACCTATGTGACAAAACAAAAGTGGTGTAAGTAATGCTCTTCTTTTCTCAAAAGCCTACAGTAAGTAATGAACTAATAACAGCACTGTTGATGTTGTCTCAAACTAAGTGTAAGTAGTTAAAATGCAGAGGGGCGAAGGAGTCACAGTCATGCAGGCAGGGAGCACACACAGGGCTGCTGTTACTCTGGTGGTGGCTGGTGCTCGTGATCTACTCACTGGAGGGGCCAGGGGGTACCCTGGGTGGGCCAGAGGGGTGTGGGTACCTCCAGAGTGAGGTTCTTCACCCCCTAAAAACTCACAGTGACCTTGCCTTTGGCAAACTTCAAATGGGATGTCACTACCAAAAATTTGGTGGCCATGTCTGCCTGGCGCTGAACCTTCCCAAGTGCATGGAGCTGGCTGTGTCCAGGGGAGAGTCAGCAAAGCTCTGTCCAGCTCTGGGCTCCAGCTCTCTATGAATGATGTAGGAAAACTGCCTCATAGCCTCTGTGTAATGAAAAATTAAATGGTATTTGGGTCCTGAGCAAGTATATGTTCTGATCATAGCATTTATGAGGAAAATGGTGAAGGAAAAAGCTGTTCCCAGGGTTCATTATTCTCAAGCCTTTTTCCTCTCACAGCTGCCTGGATGTTTTTGTGCTCTCCAGGTGCTGCTCGGTGAGAGAACAGAATGAAATGAATAGGTACAGAGCTATTTTGAAAGTAGATGCAAGCCTGCCTTTCAGCCCTGCAGTGACCATTCAGTGAGCTCTTCCTTGGGCCCAGGCTACTGTGGCTGCCTTTGAGGCTTGCTTGCCCTTCATGACAAAGCATCTTCTTTTGGGATATTCTTGATATATTTAAACCAGAGAAGTTTTCAAGTCCCAGGCTGTCCTGCTGACATTGCTGTGCCTTTCCAGTGGAACAGAAAGTATTTTTAGTGTGCAGTTTCAAACCAATGTAATTTCTGTCTGTCTCATTCTGCTGCCTCACAATATTCCTGTTTATTCTCACTCTAACTGGGGCAGCCTCAGGATGGCCCAGCCTGCACATGAAGGAATGCAGGGTCACAGAGCTGAAGGTAAAATGACTTAGTGGCTCCTGGCCTGGGGTTCTGTCAGATGTACAACACATCAGGGTACATTAATGGATCTAAATCCTTACTGAATCTACCAGCTCCATGCACAACCACCAGAAGCTGAAGTATCACAACTCTGATGACTGCATCTCCTCTGGAAGATTTATCTCCAAATGTTTAATTGCAAAGTGAAATTCTGATTTTTCGCTTTATTTTTCAGTACAGAAGCATTCAGGTGATTTCACAGATCACCTGATTTTTTTAGTGCTGGTATAGATTAAAACCTACTTTTTGGCACAACTAAAGCTTCTCCCAAAAAGATATACTCTCTCTATGTCTCTTTTAAACTGACCTATGGCACCTTCTGGTGCTTATTCACAGATCTCGCTCTCTATTTTGTTCTGAATAAATCAATGGGCTCAATACCCCTGGCACAGCTCTGGCAGACCAGCAGGGCACCTACATTTTGCAGATGAGCAAACTGAGAGACCAAACAGTTTAAATGGAGAAGCCCTGAATTCTCTTGCATGCTTTTTGCTTTTGAGTTGTGGTTTTCTGCTTACTATTCATGACAAACAAATGAGGACAAACACCTACATACTTCTTGTTCTTCTTGTAGGAGCATGCCCCAGTGCCACCACACTGCTTGTGTGGTTTGCTGCCTTCCCCTCCCTTGACTGATACTCTGTCCCCACTTCTTGGTTCTTGATACATCCCTGCCTCTCTCAGGGCATATCTCTTGAAGAGTTTTTTTTTGCTTTTCTGCCCTATATGTTGTGTATTATCTCTCTCCCTCTTTTTAAAAATTTTATTTCCTTTCTTTTAGCTTATCCCCCAAGATTCTCTTCTCCTTGATTCAAGATAATGCTTGATTCTAGTGAAAAAAAGCAAACCTCCTGTGCTGGAGGGCCCGATGAACTGCTTCAAAAGCAAAATGGGAGCAAACAGCAAAGCAGCACAGAAAGAGGAGCTGCAGCAGTCCCTGGTCTGTAGGTGCTGCTGTGTTTCCCTTTGCAGGTGAGGGGAGAAGGTGCCTTGTGGCACTGACCACTGCTGCCTTCTGCTGCCTCCCAGCCATCATCCTCTCCTTCAGCCTCTGCATTTCTGCCCTGCCTGGTGGATGCTGAGGAGAGGCTCGGTGCAGGCTGCAGGGAGGGCTCTCAGGAGATATTTCAGACTCTCCAAACAGCGGCTGTGCATTGCTCACTGCTCTGGAGATGGCTCTGCCCCTGCTCGTTGGCTCTCCAGGACAAGGTAGCTTTGCATTCTGTGGCTCAACTTTTTGGCTAACATCTCTTTTTTCCTTCCAGGAAAATGCTGAGTTTATGCTGGGTTCAGCAATCCTGATGTCTGCACAGCTGAGAGAAATCACTTCACTGTGAGTGTGATTGTGCCTCTGCAGCTTTGACAAGCCTCTCACCTGCCCTGGGGAAGGAACAGCAGGGCTGGAAAGCTGTGGAGTCACAATATGCTGACTAAGGTCAGTAGCTTGCAATGACTCACAATCTGTTTTTCTGGCAGCCCAACCATACAGCAGGTTGTGCTTTTTAAAATCATCTGTTTATTTAAAAAAGCCCTACATCAGAAAAGTTAATGCCTAAAGATATACAGGAAGGTGTGACCTTTTGACAGGATACAGAATTCTCTGTTCATTGTCATCCCTCCCTCACTCTGCTGTGCTAGCCTATTTTCACCCTGGCAAAGAGAAATTTTTATAACTTACATTATAAAATATATATAACCTACACTACTAGGTTGTCTTTCTGGTAGCCATTATTTTTTTCCATTTTCTGAGCACTTACTGCCAACCTGGAGAGGGATGTTGGGCAAAGCCAGCTGAACAGTCTTGTGCCAGGCTCTCACTGACTGCCTGAGATGTTTCTGCCTGCCATGAAGTACCTAATTCCTAAATGAGGGACTTTTCCATCTTTTCTTAAAAATTTCTATTCTGTGCTAAAGATAGTACTTAAACTGCCTCAGTACCCATGAATCATGGAATCATATAATGGTTTGGTTTGGAAGGAATCTCAAAAATCATCCATTTCCAACCACCTGCCATGAGCAGGGCTACCCACTAGACCAGGATGCTGTAAGCCCCAACCTGGCCTTGAACACCTCCTTGAGTACTTGGAATTAGTAAAAAAATTGTATTTTGTTAGGAGAATCTGCCATTATAGCTTTTTTAACTTTCCTTTTTCTAACTTTTATTTAAAGTTTTTTCTAACTTTGTTCCTCTTTGTTTTTCTTTGTCTTTTACCCCATAATAATTCTGGATCAAACAAGCATACAGTTTTTGGGAGAGGAAGCTGTTTCATTTCAAGATGTGAAAGAAATTTTAAATTACATTTGAAATAAAATTGCCTTGTCCAGAAGATTTGTCTATATGGATTAGTATCTGTTGCTTGCCTGTAAACTGCTGTGCTGTGCAGGTGGTGGCAGAGCAGAGCAACAGGAGCCTTGCAGCATTCCCACCCTGGCAGGAGGAAGCACTTCCACTGTGCTGTGGAGCTGCCTCTCAGAAACAGGTCAGAGATAAATGCAGGAATGTGCATAAAACCAGTAATCACTGAGATGGTTTCTTCAGATTCATAATAGTGTTATTAATAACAATCATTAATTTGTTGTTAAGAAAAACACCCAAGCCCAGCCAAGCATTTCCATAGATGGCAGTTCAATTACTGTTTTGGTGGAGTCAAATTTCTTGATAATCCACTGAGAAATTTTATTCTTTATTTATGTTTGTTTTATGGACTGAGACACAGGGACATACTTGCCTGAGGGCACAAAATGATTTTATTTGAAGTTTTGTAGGACTTTTGCCTTAGTTAACACTGCAGGTGGAAAGGAGGCTCTCAGTCTTGTCCTTAGATTAGGCCTCTCCTGAACAGGTGCCCACAGAGCAGAAATGTCTGTTTCCTGCTCTCACTATTGCACAGAACATTTCTCTGCCTGTTCCAGCCAGGAAGAGAGCCTACAGAAGAAGAAACAGCCTCCTGAACCCAGCAAGCACTGAACATCACTGGAGGGAGGACCTCCTAAATCACAGCCTCTCCTCAAAAGCCTCCTGCCAGTGTTTTACAGCTTGGCTTGTTTTTCACATTTCCTCCTTTCTGTGTTTTCCTGTGCAAGCTCAGGCAATGAAGAGCTTTTCTTGGGTACAGAAATCTGTGGCTCTTGGGGCATTTTTAAGCCCACTGCTGCCAGTCAAGCAGTTCATTCACAAAGCCTTTCAGAGCAAGCTGAGGCTGCAGCACATCCCTTGGTGCCTGGGGACTTGTACCAGGCTGGGGCTTAGCAGTGGAAATTTTTGCGTTTTCCAGCATGAAAACAAAGCTCTTCTCTTGACTGAGATCTCTGTCACTGCTGACAGCATTTCCTGGGGTCCTGACAAATAACAGAGTGGTATTTTCTCTAAAAACCAGGACGCACTATTAAAAGTTTCTAAGCAGTGTTTATGAAAATCTTGGACTCATTTGATTAGGAGCTTGAATTTGGAAGGTCAGACTCCTTCTAGATTCCCCACTTCATTTCTGCAGGATACTGCAGCTGCTCTGACGAAAAACAGTTATTTAAAAATTTGCTTGTAGCTATGGCAACCTCCGTGCACTGTATTTCAATGGAAAACCTAAAACAGCATCAGAAGTTTCTTAATAGGATATTTATGAAGATTTTAGTCTTTGTACATTTTAAAATTGAAATATTCCATTTTTTAAGAGGGGGTTATCAAAATCTCATTAATTTTGGAAAATGCATTTTTGTTGTAAGGGCTGCTGCTTGGTTTTTTTTTTCTTGCTTTTTTTTTTTGGTTGTTTTTATTTTGTTTTGTTTTTGTTTACAATTGCTCTGGTTGCTTTAACTCTTCAGAGCCTAAGACCTGGAGTGCTTTCCAAGTGCCAGCCCCTCCCTCCTGTCTGTGCCTGCCTCCCACTCTGTCTTGCAGATCCTGGTTTTTTACTGGAGGCACAGGGCAACCAGTAGGGTTGGCACTAGGCTGGAGCAGTGCTGGGGGTGTCAGACTTCGCCATCCTGCAGCAAATAACTCGGGGTTCATTTAGCCCTTTGCATGTTGTTTGTCTGCTCAGAGAGAAGCAAATAGATGTGCTTGTAGTTGGGTTATTTGGTATCTCCACCATATTTCAGTGTTCTTTCTCAAAGGCACAAACTGTCACAGGGTACTCAGTTTGCCTAGGCACAGCCCCAGCAGTATTTATCCTCCCACACAACTCACCTTGGAAAGGTTAAATTTGCAAATCTGCTATTTTTCTGTTGTTTTCTTGCCTCTTCCTTTCCTCTCTGCCTTTACGCTTTCAAACTCATGAGGATGAAATTAAGGAAGCCTTGCTGAAACACACAGTCTGCTGCCCTAAACCCCTGGAGCCATGCTGATACCTTCTGGTGCCTCCAAAGTGTGGATTAGGTCTAATTAATACTGTTTCTTGATCAATGGTTCTGACACAAATGCATGGAAGGGATTTATGTAATTACTGCTGTAACAGCCAGGGATTTTTGCTAGGCAGCTCCCAGTGCTGCAGCAGGGAAGTTTGCTCCTAGTGACAGGATTTTTGCCTGCTGTAGGTGACTGCCTGCCCCATCACTCTCGAGTTTTTGTTTTTCCTTTTTCCTGACCAGGTTTGAAGCTACCGGTTTGCAGTGGAAGCTGTCTAAGATGTGGGCAGACAGTTTCCTCAGGTGCCACAGGTTTGTATTACTGAGCACTGGCACCTTTTGTCTGATTACCCCTGACGCACGAGTTCACTGAACTTCTGCTAAATAAAACCAGCAGATATAAACTCGGTTTGAGGTCTGAGAAATCTTGTGATGAAGGCAAGTTCCCTGATGCATACTCTTCAAATTTGGCTGAGAGTCTGAACACATGTACTTGAGCAAGCCCAGTATTTACAGCGTGCTCTCAGGCCCGTGTGCTGCCGTCTGCCTGTTTGCTTCTCGTTGTGCGCTGCCATCCGCCGCGGAGTCCCGAGAGCCAGCCGGCCTGGGGCTTTTCGGGGCTTTTTCCGGGTTTTTCAGGGATTTTCCCCGATTCCCGGGGCAGCAGAGGCGGTGCGAGGCTCCCTTTGCCCGGGAGAGGGCAGGGATGTCGCGGCCAAGACCGCGATCCCTCTGCTGTGAACGGGATCCCGGTTTGATAAAGATCCGGCTTTCAGCAGGGAAGGGAGAGTGGACATCCAGTGAGACAGGCTGGGCCTGCGGAGCTTTCTGGGCAGTGCGAAACAGAGCAGGGACCCTGGCAGTAATGACAGGATTAGAAACTGAGGGAGCTGTGGCATCCTCGGGAGGCTGTACGGGCCCTGGTGAGGGACTGGGGCAGCCCTGCCCTCTGTGAGCTGTGCGGGAGCTGCCGGGCAGGAATGCCATCCACAGGGACCTGGGCAGGCCGAGGGAACCGCACGGGCTTCAGCAGGGCCAGCTGGGAAGGACACTGGGACATGTCCAGAGGGGGCAACGAGGCTGGTGAGGGGCTTGGAATGCAAATCCTGTGAGGAACGACTGAGGGAGCTGGGGTTGTTCAGCCTGGAGAAAAGGAAACTCAGAGGTGACCTTATCACTCCCTACAACTCCCTGAAAGTTGGTTGTAGTCAGGTGAGGGTTGGTCTATCTCCAGGCAGCAACTGGCAGAACGAGAGGTCACAGTCTCAAGCTGCACCAGGGGAGATATATGTTGGATATTAGGAAAAAGTTTTCCATTGTAAGAGTGATAAGGTCCTGGAATGGTCTGCCTGGGGAGGTGGTGGAGTCACCATCCCTGGGTGTGTTTAACAAGGCCTGGATTGGCACTGGGTGCCGTGGTTTAGTTGAGGTGTCAGGGAACGGGTTGGACTCGATGATCTTGAAGGTCTCTTCCAACCTTGTGATTCTGGGAGGTCCTGCATGTAAGTCAGGCTCCAGGGAGACCTCAGATCACCTTTCAGTACCTAAAAGGGCTTCAAGAGAGTTGGAGAGGGGCTTTGGACAAGGGCATGGAGTGATTGAAAAAGGGGAATGGCTTTAATCTGAAAGAGAGTAGGTTCAGATTAGATGCTAGGAAGAAATTTCTCCCTCTGAGGCCCTGGCACAGGCTGCCCAGAGCAGCTGTGGCTGCCCCATCCCTGAAAGTGTCCAAGGCCAGGTTGGATGGGGCTTGGAGCAACCTGTGATAGTGGAAGGTGTCCTTGCTTATGGCAGGGGGTTAGAACTCGATGATCTCTAAGGTCTCTCCCAACACAAACCATTCTATGTTTTCATAATTTTACTTTAAAAATACTAATTTTAGCAAAGAATTTACAGATGTAGTGGAACAAGGGCTAAGTCAAAACATGGGTCTTCTCAAAACCGTTACTTTCACTGACTAGCACTGGGAACTTTTCCCATTCCTTTCTAGAGCTCAGCAGGAAGAAAGATTCAGTGATCCCAGGTTTATTTAGTCAAAATAGCTATGGTTGCCTTTGCTTCAGGAATTGTCTGTTTGCACAGACAGTTGTTGAG